AAATAAACAGAAAAAAAGGAGAGAAAAAAACAACAGAAACCGCAAAAAGAAGCACTCCAAGAAAAAACCCCGAAAAAAAAAACCCTAAACCCTAAACCCTAAACCCTAAACCCTAAACCCTAAACCCTCACAGGCTCTGTTTGTTTGGGGCCCATATCCGCCTCTGCCCATTTAATTCTTCTCTCCATCAGAGCTCGAAGCCGCTTTATTGATTTGTGAGACCCTGAAAAAGCAAAACCCTAAACCCTAAACCCTAAACCCTAAACATTAAACCCTAAACCCTAAACCCTAAACGCTGGATGCAAGAGGTAGAGTATAAACCCTGGATCTACACCCTAAACCCTAAACCCTAAACCCTAAAACCTGGCCCTCGAGTTAACCACTATATTAAACCCTAAACCCTAAACCCTAAACCCTAAACCCTAAACTCTAAACCCTAAACCCTAAACCCTAAACCCTAATTACCTTCGAAAACCACGACAGCCCAAGCCGGCGAAGGGGGGATTACGCAAACCCCAGTAACGTGAAACTGTTTAGCGTTTGTATCCACCTGCATACAAACCCTAAACCCTAAACCCTAAACCCTAAACCCTAAACCCTACAGAACCCCAAAGAACCCTAAACCCTAATTCAATTGCCAAACGCGGAAACCCTAAACCCTCACAACGATACAACTCAGCAAACCCTAAACCCTAAACCCTCAATTTAAACCCTATACAAACAAAGATGCATCAAGAGCATTCACGCCTGCAGCAGCAGCAGCAGCAGCAAAAGCAGCAGCAGCAGCAGCAGCAACAGCAGCAGCAGCAGCAGCAGGCAGCAAAGAAGAAAAGGAGCAGCAGAAAGGAAAATAGCAGCAGCAACTCGACCCCTCCCTAGGGTTTTGTTCTCCTATAGGGCCTGGGGTCTTACGATGAGCCTAGGGTTTAGGGTTTAGGGTTTAGGGTTTCTAGGGTTTAGGGTTTAGGGTTTAGGGTTTACATACCTTAAACAAATGGCGTTTGTTAGCGAGAGACTTCACCCTGAAGACGGCGACGCTGCAGTTGTTTTGTTGTTTCAGCTGGCAAGCAACACACAAACCCTAAACCCTAAACCCTAAACCCTAAACCCTAAACCCT